GCAGTAGCAGTAGCAGCAGCAGCGGTGGTGGTAGAAGTGGCGGCGGCGGTGCAATAGCCAAAGTAAGTAGTGACAGCAGGGGTGACACCGCAGCAAGACGTTGTGGGGTTAATAGCCGTCGCAAGGATAGCGGGAGCACTGGCAGTTGTACAAACAAATCATGGACTTGACTTACACTTCTGATGCCAGCTGAGCTAGTAGTTGGGGGCCTGAATAATTACCAATACTATTTTGGCCCTATATTACAGTCACGGTGGAACTCATGCCGATGCCTTTCAAATCAGACACGACGACAAATCGACACTGACATAAAGTAAGAGCAAATGGTAAAATGCAACCGCCATAGAAGCAATACAGGGGCCTTAATATAATTTGAATGGGGTTTTGGTATACTATACTCATAAGAAGGAACCCCCAGAATCTTATTGGTAATAGTTCAGGCCCCTATAGTAATCAGGCTTCGGAAGTCCCACCCGGCATTTCGCCTGCATCTCTTTGGAAATCTTCTGAGCCACCAGGTCTGTGAGGACCTGCATGTTGAGGTTTCTTGGGTTGGGCCTGTATGCGAACTCCTGTTGCTCGGGGCTGGGTTGACTTAGTACTGTCAGTGGGATTTGAGGTTCAGAAGAGACGAGATATGTGTTGTTCTATCTCTCGAGTTCCAGGGCGCTCGAAGCAGATTCAGAATTGAAAGCGTGCATCAGAAACAAAGCTCTCGTTCCGTTCCCCTTCACCCTAAACCGCAAGGCAAGCTGGTCAGAGACCACGTCGCACTCTTGCATGGCATGTCTCCAAATGTTCAACATCCCCCGATCGCCAAACCCATGAACCCTGAATGCAACAGAACTACACCCCTAAACCAGGGTTGGGGTCGAGGGTTCCAGGGTTAAGGCTTAAAGGGTTTAGAATTTAGGGTCATATTGCTCGCATCGCTTTTGCATTATGTTTCTTGCGCAGGTACTGAAGCAGTCTACCCTACATTCTGAACAAAAGCTGTGACTCTTGCCGCAGCTACATGCTGTTCTTAAATTTGTGACCCTTATGACGAGCTCTCCCCCCCTCCGGGCGTTGCCAATGTGATCGCTGGCTTGTCGCTGGGCTTCGGCAATGGATGACTGGTCCTGGGGCCATGGATCTTTCAGTCTCTCAAGATGAAAGGTTCCTGCCTAGGGTAATGTGGGGGTTAGAACGGGGCTTTGGGGTATGTTACAGAATGCTACAGCAATGTTAGGGACTACCAACATCGGAATATTATCCCAAGTCTTTCCACTGTAGTGTTTGATATAGCGCTCTTCGGGCCTTTGGCCTATGAGGCACACGCCTGCAACAGCAAACCTCCACCCTGACAGGGGGCGCTGTGAAGCTTAAGCTCAGCAGGAGTTCGGTGGCTGTATAGGTTGGGAGGATGCGAGTAGCGAGCGTCGAGACAGACGAATGCAGAAGTTCTACGAGGTTCGGGAGGCGGAGTGCATCCTGTCGAGGAGGATAAAACCCTAAACCCTAAACCCTAAACCCATAACAGCACTATCAACGAATGACATTGAGCCTTCAGCCCTAAGTCCCCAAACCCGACACCTTTGCAACATCTGAGTCAGGGGCCGATGAACCAGGAGCCCAGGGACACACAGGCCTGAGCGGCTTTACAAATTGAGAGGGTTACGGGGGTTATTGTGTTCATGGGCTTTTAGGGCATACCTGAACCCTAAAAAGCCTACCTACCTTTGCAAGACGTGTGCAAGAACATCATGACAAGGAGCCCTTATAAACGGCAGCTTTTCGTTTTGAGGCAAGGGGGTGGGAGGGTGGGGACTTGAGACAGGGCTTACGGTTAAATTCGTGTTTAAGGCAAAGCTGAAGGCCCTAACCTGTAAAATGCAAAGGAAAACCACCACCAAACAAAGATCCTAATTAACTGTCCGAACCTCACCAAATTCAAGCTGCCCTGCAGAACCAGTACTGAGGCTACTTTTCCACTCCCCTCATACCCACAGTACGATATGGAAGATGAAATATTGAAAATCTACGACCGCGACAGGGCCGCTAAAACCTAAACCCCAAACGGCAAGCCTAAGTCGTGAATAATATCTGGAGACAGACAGCACCGACCCCAGCAGCGAAACGCAAAGGCTCTGGCAACATCTTCCTCCTTGGCTTGGGAGTCTTCCGGCATCGACCCCGGGCTGGTTTAGGGTTCAGGGTTTAGGGGCCGGAATAATGTCCAATCCTTTGTTGTTCTTAAGGGTTCCTTTGTAGAATTAGAATTAGACTAGGACTGTCATGTGTCCAGTTCTAACTATGAAAGCACCCATACTAGGTCTTCAACTGGGGTCGAGGCACATCTTGCATCAAGCGACTTTGCTTCTACATTGCGACAGAACCTGATGAAGCAGGAATTCTAGAAATCCGCCCGCTGCAACGATACCACAGACAAGCACCCATATACTCTCCTGTTGGGGCTGTTAGCTTTGAGGGCCCTCAATTCCAGTGCGGGGTTCGTCCAAGCCCGAACCTCTGCGATCCATCCTTCGCCCAAGGCGCGTGCGCGAGTAGCTTGTTGCTTTTTGATATTTATAAACTCCTGTGTCTAAACTTCACTGCAATCAAGGAGCTGAATGAGCAGAAAGTTCAGCGAGAAGGTCGAGCAAGCTGCCAGTGGCTTCCCGCTACTGGATCGCATTGAGAGCCTTCCGCAGAAAGTCTTTGGGGTCCAGGGCTCTACGAGTCGACGGGAACGCCCACCCGCAGTTCTGAGCCTAGAACCCCAAAGCGACGTAAACCCGGAAACCTCAAGAAACGATCTGTGTCCCGGGCGTAACGATGTATGTCCCCGGGTCAATGGCCAACTCAATGCCATCTTGATTGCGGGAGAGGATCGCCTCGGCAATGATGCATATAGTAGGACGGAGTACTGTCGCTGCTTGTACGTGATTGTCACGATGAAGATGATACGGTGCTGGTAGTGATGCTGCTGCCGCCGTGCCACAACTGGCAATCACGGTAGAAACGACAGCGCATGCTACGCCAGCATCCAAGACCTACAGCCAAACCCCTTAAACAAACAACAAGAAGCAGCACATGCTCAGTTGCTAGCCGCAGACCTCAAAGCAAGACCACCATGCCTTCAACCATGCGTCGGCAGGCAGTTGCATGCAACTCGAAGGCTGCTACTATGGATGGCTTGGCAATTGTGGTAAAAATCAGCAGCTATGATCAACACGAACAGCAACAATAAGTGAATGGACCGTCATGATGACAACGGTGATCTCCTACTACTACTACTACTACTACTACTACTACAACTACTATTACTACTACTACTACTACTACTACTACTACTACTACTAGTACTATTTTTACTACTGTTACTACTACTACTACCACCACCACGACTACTAGTACTACTACTACTACTACTACT